CCCTTGATCACTTTCTGGTACTTGATTTTATTATATAAGCTAAGCCTCAGGTTCTCTAGCGTTAGAATTAGAAATTACAAAGTTAAAGAACAACCCTGGTTTTATAGAGAACATTCATGCGAGTGAAAAATATTATTTCTTTAGCTTCGGTTTTCTCTTCAGACACGGATTTTTCTCAGAAATGAGGAAGGAATTGGACTGCTTGATCAATTGGAAAGTGAAGGCTTTCAGGGTAAGAAAAGGCTCGGATGACATATTCATAGTTCTGAGCTATGAGGCTCAGCCCGATCCTTCGCACCTCTGTGCTGGAAGCTCCTACTTCAACGTTCACCTGACAGAGATGATTTGAGAGTGCAAAAGGGTTGGGCTACATACATTTGAGACCCCGCTAGCCCAGTTAGAGAGATTTGTTGGAATAAAGTTTAGGATTAACATCAATCTTAGAGGCGTCCTAGACTTTACGTGTTCGAACTCGGTAGATACTAAAATTCTATAATAACAAAGGACTATTTTTATTTACTGTAATTAAATTCACTTACCATTTTCTTTGACCCCATTAAGCAGAGTGTTTTCTCCGTTGGCTGAGGCAACAACAGCCTTATCTTGTTGGTTATCCATGAATGTAACCTCTTATTGTTTCATTCCAAGTCCAAATGCTGTCCAACCTGCACATTTCAAATATATAATATCGGTCATTAAAGTTGTTGTTTTTTTCTCTGTTTTAAGGCTATATCAGCTAGAGAGGTCTTAAAAAGGCTCACTGGAATTTACCTGTTTCCAGACTGGTTTCATTATTGTTATTGGTTTTGTTTCACAGTTTGTACCTACCATATAAGTTCATTTGGAAACTGACACTTCATTCATACATCCTAGATGCTTCTATCCCCTCCAGACAGTAACACATTTAACTAAATCATGGCCATCCGATTAGGAAGGATGCAAAGTGGCGTCCGGTGTTACCTGGGGTTAAGGGGTGTGTGCTTCTGCAGATTAATGTTATTTCTCTTCGCCTCATTTCTACTTCAGATGATCTGAAGCTCTTCAAAAACAAGCCGATTCATACACACACACTCATATATACATCACACTTACATATTTTCTCTGTGTGCCTTAAAATTTTACTGCTAAGGTTGAAAGAAGTAGAGAATTCATCCCTTGGTTTCTCGACATTCATGACCTTAACTCTGGTATTGACAAGTATTACTCCAAGCCCCCAGCAGGATTTTAAAATATGGCTAGAAAGAATATCTGGAATGTATGAAATAGTCCCAGCATCATCTGGCATTTTTAGGGCATGGAACACATACCTATAGCCTCTCATCTCCTGATTACCTACCTGGGTGCTAGGTTTATGCAAAATGATAGGTGACAAGGCCACCTTAGAGGTACATGTCTACCATGTGCCACTACAACATCTATAAATCCCTATTCATTCCAACCCCTCTTTCCTAGACCTTCTCCTCAGCCAAAAGCATAGACTACTGATGGCTAAGCAGCTATTACAAGAATCTCAATAGCATACTCACTTATCCAAATACATGTATATACTATAAAAGGTAGGTCCGAGCACTGAGGAAACAAGAAGCAGTAAGAAGATACAGTTTTACATTCAACCTATATGATATTTTACCTATCTAGGCTTATTTCCTTATCTGTAAAATAAGAAGTCTATATTAGGCAATCATCCAGTTTAAAAAACGTTAAATGATCCTGGGTTTCCTCTAGCATTTATATATCAGAATTGCCAAATTTTCTTCTCATTTTATAGAAGACCTGACTTGAGAGTAGCCAATAAACCACAGGTGCCAGGGAAAAAAAGAGATGCTTGTTGTATTTACACAGAAAGAAGCGCTGGCGATTTCTAAAAGGCAGAAAGGACTGCCAGCAATGTCAAAGTTCCCTTCCCTTGGAGAGATCATTTGTGGTGGAACTGAGTGAGCAGATCAGATGGCTGAGCCTCTGCTTCAGAGAGGACCCTATGGGTCAGGTGGGATCATACTACCATCATGGATTGCCCTGTGCATCTTTCTTTTTAAGGAACTCGACAGAACTTTGGATATCATTTTACCCCTCTTTAACTCCTCCACTAATTCCATCTTGGCAAGGACTTGATAAGGGATAAATTATTTGTAGATGTTAATAGTTTAGGGTCTTCTTGTCGCTTATGACTAAAGCTAGCTACAAGGAAGTCCATTTTAATCACCGGGAAGACCAAGTCACAGAGAAACAAAAAATAAAAATTAACATATCATAAAATATATATATGAGCAATACACTTAAGCATCAAGAATTATCCAATCTTGTCAGACAGGACAAGAACACTATGTCAGGGGATATGTTAGTGCCATTGTTACTTTACGTTATTTCCCTAAGCATATAAATTTCCTCTAATAGGAAAATCTGATCAAGCACCCAGGATTTATGGCTCTGAAGTAAAGGGAATCTTACAGGGTAGAGACTAGAACAAATACCTTTGGCAAGAGAAGAGCTGGAGCGGGCATGAGAGCTTGATTTGGGAAGGGGAGAAAGGGAATGAACATGCCCACTAGATGGTAGGCTGTATACAGTCACGGATTTTGTACTTAAAATCACCCAGTAGGCTTGGCTTTACTAGGTTCCTTTTTTTCTTTTCCAAAAGGGAAAACTGAGTATCATAGATATTAACTTAGTGATGATCGATTATTTGGGTCTCTGTTCTACAGAATTAGAAGGCTAAACTATAAGCAGACAATCCTTTAGTCCTATCCTATGACTTTTCAATTTTCAGCTCCAAATGAGACAACCGAAAGGTATATATTTTCCCACATTTTTATTTATTTATGCCTTGGCTGCTTATAAAAATGATTTGGGACACGGATTATAATTTTTTATTGCTACAATACAAACAGCTCTGAGCTTGCTTTAGCTTTGTGCCACCGATTGCATTTTAGGACAAATTTTGTGGAGTTTTTAAAATCTATCTTGAGCTAAAGATGATTAGCGCTTTTTGAATAATGTACAACAAATTGCTTTGCTGATCAGAGTAAATCATGCAGTCTAATGGAAGTGAAAGAACATTAGCATGGAGACAGGTATTTTGAAGCCAGGAAATTCTCAGTTAAACCAGAAAAGCGACACATCCTACCTGTTGTTCTCCTTGGTTGGGCCTGAGAAGGACTCATAGATCTTGTCCCCGTAAGCTGCTATGCTCTTTCCAAAACACTTTCAAGCCTCGGGTTTTAGAGTCTAGATGGCCCACACCAAAATTTGTGCCGGGGGCCGCCCTTGGCCTTTTCCAATTGGAAAAAAAGGCAAGGCATGAAAGTAAATTGTATTTCTGCCTTTGGACCTGGGACAACATAGCCTTTGGGGTTTGCGTAGTACTGATCTCTGGGTTATCAGTTTAAATCAATTCAACAATTGACTTGATACCACTTGTGGTTGTGATTGTGTACCAGGCACTGCAGTGGAAAAAGACAGGTGAATGGAACGAGATCCATGTTCTCAAGGTGCTCAGAGTCTATTGGGGAAAACAAGCCACAGACAAATTCGAATAAATGTAAAATACAGTGAAAGAGAGGCAGAAACTATCTGTGGGAGCTCCAAATGGAGAGAAATCATCCCATTTCTGGAGGAGAGAAAACTCAGGGAAGGCTTCATGAACAGGAGCAAAATTTGAGATGGACCTTGAAGGATGGTCTTTCAGGAGATGCCGTGAGTCTCTCCCTGCTCCAGTCTGTCCTCCGAACAGCTGCTACACAATCACTGGCCTGACGACTTGCCTTAAACATCTCTGTTCTGCCTCGCATATAACACCTTTCTCAATCAATCCTCAACTTCTCAAGTTCTATTCATTCTGTCCACCTCCTCCTACACTCTCAAATATTCTAACTTTCTGTTCTCTTCTTATGCTAAATCATTTTTTACTTTCAGGCGTCTCGAACTTGATCTTCTCTCTGCCTGGAATGCCTCCCCCAACCTTTTCTCTTACCTCTGTTCCTTCTTGTTCCCTCTTCCCGGCCTCCCTTTCGCTTCCCTCTCCTATGCCCTTCATTTTTCCTTCTCTGTGTTCCCAAAGGACTTTGATCTCCTCTGTTTATCACCTTATGTAACCATTACTTCTTTATATCTGATACCCTCATAATACTATCCACCTCCCCACCTCCACAAGGCCTAGTTCACACAGTGCATAGAACATGGTATGTATTCTGTAAAAGTTAATTAGATGATGATGTTGAATGGTAGGAAGACATGGGGGAGAATTCAGGGAACGGTAAGCATATGGCTAAAATATCAAGTATACACAAGAAGATACGGCTGAGAAAAATAAGAGCTACACTGTGGAGGTCACGCAGACCTTGATTCAGAAAGACACTGAAGAATTTCGAGCAGAAGAATGCTACGATTAGAACATTATGACCGCTGAGAGTAGAAGAATCAGGGGTAGGGAAATGGCTTAAGAGACAATGTTCAAGTGCGGGAGGTCAAGATAAGATTTGGGGAGGAGAAAATAGGAATGGAAAAGAGATGTTCGATTTGAGTAAAAGTGCAGAGATGTGTTGTATACACTTGGAAAATGATTTAGATGTGGCAGGTGAGGCAGCAGGAGTCAGCATATAGACAGAAGAGAGAAGTCATGCAGTTAACAGATGACTGTAAAAGGAGCATTGGGGGTGGTTGGACTCCAGGCCAGAATAGCCTCAGAAATACGGGTGCCAGAATTTTCATGAGATTAAAGCAAGGTGAGTAACAAGCTCAATTGTCAGGTCCAACATGTATAATGAAGCTGACAAGGATCTTAGCTGTCATATTGGAAAGGAGGCAACTTACCAGCAAGCTGTTATAGATGGGGATGCTACAGGTCTGGTTAGAGGCTGACATGGAGTAAGCAGATGGACTGTTGTAGCAAACAGGTCCACAAAAGGTTTCCAGGCTAGCCTAGCCAAGCTCTGTCTAGTCTGGTTCTTGCCAGTTCAACTCCAGTCAGTGCGATGTATGACAGAATCAGAAATAGTAAGAGAGCACATTCTTATCCATGACACTGCTCGGCTAATTCCATTTTCTAATACCTACCAGGATTTCAAGATACCAGGTTAGAAATGTGGACATATGGTGCTTTTAAGTACATGTTCTCAAGGTACACTGAGTCCATTGTACAGAAAACATGCTTAAGTGAGGAGCCATATAACTTTGAAAATATTAAGGGTGAGAGAAACATCAAAAAGAGATGATTAGAGTTAAACTAAAGGATTCTATCTATCACAAAAGTACAGTATGAATCCACTTCATCTCTCATGATAAAGATTCCAAAATTCAAAAGATATGTATAAAAATTCTCATAGAACAGGTGAGATCACATAAGGGACAGAGTACAACCATCAACGAGCTGTGTGTTCTCGGGCAAGCTCTTTCCTCTCTCTGGTCCAAAGTTTTATTTGCTCTATAAGAAGGGAGTTGAACTAGATTATATCTAAGGGCTTTTCTAGTTTTGAGCTATCTATCACACTCCTGGGCAGGAGCTATCATGGCTGCATTTTTGTCTAGCTCGGTGGCTCAGCCTGTGGGTAACCCTTCTTCTTCCACACTGTTCCTATCTGCAGCACCCTTTGTGACACCACCCTATAGAGATTTTCAAAAAGAGCAAGTACATACGACCGTAAATAAATGCAAAAATACGTCAAAAATGCAA